CGTTTGAGCTGTTTTAACTGAAAGCAACTTGCACTGGTGTATCTTAAAAAAATGTGAGTGCCACTGTTTTGTCTCAAGATGCACACCAGTAATGTTTTTTTTTTCTAAGACACGTTTATAAAAGCTACTTAAGGCCTAAGCCCTGCTTAATCTAAGCCCTGTCTGTGAAACCAGGCCATACTGTTTAAACATAATTGAGATGTCAGTTCATTTACTTTCATTAAAACATCAAATTTGTCTTAGATTATTCTGGGAAGAAATAAAAATATAAACAAATGAGTCCACTGTTGACATACAGTACATTAAGAGTAAAGAGCTATACAACTGTGAACAACGTATAGCTTAGATAACTTGGTTAGAAATATTTGATTTGAGTGCAGACCATGCAGATTGTCCCTGATCTCTTCTAAAACTCATGTGAAATTACTGGAGCCATGTTTTTTTTTTTTTTTTTGTAGGAAATAAACCCTCCTCAGAAGCAGTAGACCTACAGTATAGGCAAAGTAGAGAGTAATGCCGATTATTTCTTTAGACTTTAAGCACAGCATATAATATGAAAACATGTATTTTTGATTCTGTATTTTGCTTCATGCAGTAGAATCAAATTTTAACATGCCAAAACAACAACAAAAACAATATTGTCACAAAGATGAAAAACTTTGCAAGACAGGTTGACAATCTTTGATGGCCTCTGGCAGATGAGGTTCAAATGTGGAAAGGTCGTGACACTCTCAAACGTATCTCTAAGTGCTGTTATTTTACATAAGATACTTCTGATGTCTTTGAGAACTTGAACTAGTCATACTGTGAGTTGCATTTACCATCTCTAATCCACAAAAAAAACAAGGAACTCCCGCACACTATCAGTACTTGCAAATGAGTACCAACATTTTATTAGCAACGTTTCAGTCTCACGACCTTCATCAGACCGAAACGTTGCTAATAAAATGTTGATACTCATTTGCAACTACTGATAGTGTGTGGGAGTTCCTTGTTTTTTTGTTGATTTTTTTTACCTATTTAGTTGGTGTTTTTTCCCACGCACCTATCACAAAAAAAAAAAAAAAAAAAAAGTAAAAAAAAAAAAAGTAAAAGTGATTTCCAATCGAAATTATCAGATTATTACACAGGAATGTAGCAAATATTTGTGCAAATTGTGTCCTTATTATAAAGTCGAACACTTGCAGCAATTCTAGTTAGGTGCCAGAATGTTTAATATTTCATTAGAAATGTTTGTGTTTTCTGTTTTTTAGACAAGCTGGTGCAAAGAGTGAGAGATAGTGGGGTACAGTCTCTGTGTAATACATCACTAAACACACACACACACACACACACACACACACAGAGAGAGAGAGAGGGAGAGAGGGGAGAGAGGGAGAGAGAGAGAGAGAGAGAGAGAGAGAGAGAGAGAGAGAGAGAGAGAGAGAGAGAGAGAGAGAGAGAGAGAGAGAGAGAGAGAGAGAGAGAGAGAGAGAGAGAGAGAGAGAGAGAGAGAGAGAGAGAGAGAGAGAGGAAGCCTAAATTAACCCATAACTCATGGCAGAGGTCAGGCCTTCTTATATAGAAAATATTCCTTTCAGCAAATACTGCAGGAAAAGAACATTTATTATTGATAGAAAAACACCCAGCAATATATAATAAACAGATGACTTGGCTTAAAGCTCACTGGAATTCCATCCATCAAATAAATGTTCTCTTCATCTAGCAAAATTGACTACTGCCATGAGCTTTGTACAATGAACAAGACCACTTCTGTAAATAAGCCACAGGCCGGGGTTAAACTGAGCCAGACTGACACATACCCCATAGACTTATTTGTATATTAAATATTTGTATATCCATATGAGTGCGTTTATTTATTATGCTGTTTAGGGTTGTTCATTTTTCTAGGAAATATTTGTAGGGTACTAAAGTTCATTTTAATGCAAAAAGTGCCTTACTTTACTGTAAACACACTATATGTACATACGTCATAAACAAAAGGCTTTAACATACACTACCGTTCAAAAGTTTGAGGTCGGTAAGATTTTTTAAAGGCTTTTGAGAAAAGTCTCTTCTGCTCACCAAGACATTTATTTAAAAACATTAACATCGTGAAATATTATTATATACTTATAATCTATTGGAATATATTTTAAAATATTTACATTTGAATATTCATGTATTTAAATATACAAATTATGTGATACAAATAATAGAAAGTTCAAAAGAACAGCATTTATTTGAAATAGTAATCTTTTGTTACTTTTCAGTAAATATCACTTTTGCAAATACATTTAGCAAAATAAAAGTATTAATTTATTTCTTTAAAAAAAGAAAGAAAATCCTACTGACTCCAAACTCTTAACCGGTAGCATATGTTATTATGCTTTCATCCACCTCCAAAATCCCAATTTAACCCCTGGCTGCAGGCCCCCCATGTGGGTAGCGTTCCAAGGAAAGGCTTACTCATTTACATGAAACACATCAGATATATTCACTGGAAGCTCATTTAGTTTTTACTTAAAAAAAAAATGCTTTTACTAAACGTACATAATTGTGTCTGATTGGCAAAGCATGGGCCTAATTGCAGTCCTGGTGAGGCAGGTGATGGAAATAGCTCATGAAATTGACTTCAAAAGAAGTTCTTGTCTTCCCTTCCATAGATATGAATGAATCCTGACTGCTAATTTAAAGTGAAGCAGTGTATGGTTTTCTGTAGCCTCCTCTCTCTCTTAGTAAGCAAGATTTGCCATGCTCTCTGACCAATGTTGCGGTCGATGTTTGACATATCTTAACACACAAACAACATTTTCATGAAATTTTCACAGAGGTGAATCTATAATTCACGTGCCCTCTCTTAGCTGATGCTGATTAGAGAGAGACGCTGGAATCACTGCCAGGATCTGCTCACTGCATCTCTGATGCACATTTACCATTCAAAACACTTTCATCAAGACTCTCGTTCCAGACATTCTTGTCTAAAATGCCAAACCGACCTTGTTGCAGTGCTTCCTCTAATTAATGCTCATTCAAGACTTTACACATTTAGCTCACATACACATTCGTCTAAAAATACTCAACCCACCCACATTCAAAACTAATTTGCAAATCATATTCTCAAGATTGCAAGATTGTTTGCTGTTTAGTGACTGAATGAAGAGTGATTTTATATACATGCATTGAAAAGTTAATTAGCTACAAATTTACTGAAATTACACAGATTGTATACACAAAATGTCATACACAAAACCCTTTCAGTTTGACTTATATAGGCAGTCTAGAAGTATAAACATGCTGTCCAAACTCTCCAAATGGACAACTTTATTGCTTAAAGGTTGCTCAGCTCAGAAGAATAGGAATTTTTCATTTTAGTATCAACTTTGTCTCGGATACCTCTCCTAATATTTCTAAGGAGAAATAGAAAATCGACATAAATGAGACCTCTGTTGACATACTGTAATACTAAACAGCTATAAAAATGAACGTGAATAGCATAGCTATTTGGTCTTGAAATTTCATATCTGAACACTGATTGCAAACTCTACAATAGAGACTTTAGATGAGAACTTCTTAAAAAGAAGGAAACTTTAGCAAACTCGCCATTTGCACTGCCTTTAATCTACAGTTCAGGTAAAACAACTGAGATATCAGATATCTCATGTGTGATATTTCTTTCCTTATTCCTTGGCTATTAAACTTTAAAGGTGCTGTAAGCAAGGTTTTTAATACCACATATAAAATGTGCTGTACTGAATCTGACAGATATAACTGAAATAGGTGTCCCGAGAAATTACACCCGTCTTCGTGACTGCCCTATAGGCTTTGCAAAGAGCATAAAAAGTTAAGGAGTGAGTCACACTTTTTTTTCTTTTTTTTTTTGCCATTCATAAACAACTTCTCTCTGTGAATAATTTTGCGCATTCTGGTTTTCTGATATTTACCACCTTTAAATATCTTTCAATTTCAATTCTTTCAATGCTTTCAATTCTGACAAACCAATTCAGATAACTAGAGTGCTAAACCAATGATGGAAGACCCACTGAAATCAACACCTCAACACAAACTAAGGAAATCAACTAACCACTAAAAGTTCCATCAAACCAGTTTTTAGCAATAGCAATTCTGTTCACATAGAACACATTTTTGCTTTTAAAAACACGAGATGCCACACAATAGTATCTAATTGCAGACGAAGGTAGAGTCGAGAAAGTTGCACTTCTTTTAGCTTGACATGGCGTCTTAGAGGGGACCTATTATTCCCTTTAACAAAGTCTTGATTTAGTTTTTGGGGTCTACTAGAATAGGTTTTCATGATTGAATGTTCAAAAAAGACAATGTTTTTCACATATTTGACATTGTTACAGCACCTCTCGTCCCTGTCTGTCTGCAACGCTCTGTTTAGTTCCTGTCTCTATGAAGCCCCTCCTTCTGAAAAGCGCAATGAGCTCTGATTGGTCATCTGAACCAGTGTGGCGTCATAGGTCAATCACTTTGAGCATGTTTTGTAAATGTCATGCCTTGGGTGGGAATTATTTTAATTAAGGGATATTGTGACATGTACGTTCTCGGAAGAAAACTCAAGACTACAATCGAGGCGTTTAAGGGAATTCAGAAACACTGCGCACTGATGTAGAGAATACTGTAACTCCCTTTGGAGGGACTTTGTACTTTGCAGACCTTTTTCATGCTCAAACAGCAACATTACACACTAAAGAAAGATAAAAATGTAAAACAGCATAATACATCCTCTTTAAAAAAATGTATAACGGTCAAAGGCGACCATCTAGTGCATGTTTACATAGAAAACAATTAAAAATCAAAAACGTAGAGGCTTTAAAATCCCCTCTCTGGATTTGCAGAGAACATGCACGCTGCTTTGGGCACAATGAGAGTTCTGCACAAAAGCCCAGTTAACATTTATCAGTAAACGCTGAACTTTAACACCTCTGCTCAGATCAAACATGCTCAGATCAGTCTATGTTTGTAGACTCAGGCCTGAGAACCGAAGTTGCACATACCTCTTAGATCTCTTCTGTGACCAGGGGACGGATGTGGATATGCTGCTTGGTCCCAGCGCTTGTGACCTGGAGTGTATGAGGGATCCTGCAGTTTAAAACAAAGCAAATACTTTAAGTAGCAAGATTTCAGCAGCTGAACATGAGAACACAAGAAAAATATTACATTTTTTTATTACATTTAAAAAAATAGTTGTGCCTTCTTGTGCAGATCTCACTGCCTCAATGATGTGGGTGGTTATCAGGGTGTTGCGATAAAGTTGCTAGGGTTTTCTGAATGGTTGCTTATTAGCACAAGTCAAAAGAGGGACTCAATGTGAGTCTATGGGCGAGGTATACAATCCTGTTTCTAGAGGGGCACTGCCCTGAAGAATTTAGCTCCAGCCCCAATTAAACACCTGAACCAGCTACAGTAATAAAGGTCTTACTAGGCATGCTAGAACCTTCCAGGCAGGTTTGTTGAGGCAGGTTAAACTGTGGGACTGTGGCCTTCCAGGAGCAGGTTTGGACACCCCTGGTCTATGCGAATTTTTCACCCACCAAGTGAAAATAGCAAGCCTGATCACTAAGTACAAGCTGCATGATTTGAGGCATCATTCATCATGTCTGCAACGCAGTGAGGAAATGTGGATTTAAATAGTTAAGGTTCAGGGTTTGTATGAGTAACAATAAAGCATGATAAATTTTGTTTTACAATCTCCAGTTCACAAGCAATTTTACTTTTACTATGGAATTTTCCATTGAAAAAACATTTTCACATTTTCAATCCAATGTCTCTCTCTTGACCCTTGGAGATTCATCATATGCCTCCTCTTTTCCAGTCACGCCTAATGGAAACTTCCATTGACAGCATAACTCATGAGTAACTTGAGATATTCCATCATTTCAATCATGAAGATGCTGACAAACATAAGCTTGTTTCACATCAAGGCCAGCCAAATGTAGACTCAAGCTGAGGACGATCAATCTAAGCACAGTTCTGATGTTTAATTCTGAATGTGTCGCAGGGGCTTTATCGTGGGATTAGTTGTTTGGGTGGCGGCAGCCACTGACATTTGAGGAGCATTCCAGTCATACAATATCCCGTGTGCTCAGCCACTGCCCCCTGCTGCAATAAGCACTGACAGTGACGCCACGCATCCTTCCCAAAACATCAGTCAGTAACATTAACTGAAAAAGAAATGTTAGACGACATCAAACACTGAAGTTGAAATGCCAAGTATTTAGAATCAAATGGTATAATTATTTAATGAATAAATAAACAAATGAAAAGACATTGTGGTTGGCAGAACTTTACCATAAAAATACCATGGTGATGTTACAAACATTAGAGGATGGCATTTTGGTGACTATATACAGTATTTAGCGTTAAAGGTAGGGTAGGCAATTTTTTTCATAAACACTGTTATTCTGGTCAAAACTCTCTTCACATCCTGATAGCAATCAATAATATAAGTGGTCGAAATATTTTTTAAAATGCACATTTATCTTCTGTGGAAGTCTCAGGACCAAAGAATTGCATCCAATCATTGCATTCAGTCCAAATGCAATGATAGGATGTCCTACCTGCCTGTTAGCGTATGCATTTCCATACGTCAGCGCACCTGCTCGCGCAGACATCACACGACATCAGTGCGTTCCGCAAGGCTACAGATAGTCACAGACGGCAGAAACGAACAGCAGCCACATTTTACAGTTCCTCCTGAACCAAAACAACGAGCTCATACTGCGTTCAGGCCATGTCGTAACCGTAATTACGAGATGACAACCCGTGACGTTCTACCCGGAGCTGTTCATGTACTCAGACTCAGTTCTCTGGCAACACTATCAACGCTGAAATGAACCTGCAGCAATCAGATGGTACAAGTCAGAGTTCTGTAAGTTGTTTATGTTCTTTAGTATTGTGATGTTATGTGCTTTGAGACATGAGATAATTTAACGCCGTCTCTCCTTAACGCTTGGCTGAATCTGCTCCGGCGGTGTGCGTTCATGCGTTTTCTAACGCTTTTAAAGGTAGCTTGCTATTGCTAGCCGCTCCGAAATTGCCTACCCTACCTTTAAATTATAGAATGTTATGTAATATAATATACAAACCATTTGAGCTTAAAATCAGTAAGTAACTGTAAATAATAACAAACACAAACATTATTGCAACAATGCAATAAACTTACTAAATATAATAAAATGCACACTCAAATGTATAGACAATTTATGGCAAGGAAAAACCAAAACAAATCTGATGTTTCATGCAGGAAAATTAGAACACAATTTTTACACAACAACATTTTATCATAAATGCATACATAAAGAAATGCCTTGTATAGCAATAACAAGATTTCCCCTGACTGGCTGACTGAATTCATTACACATCACAGAGACCTAGATTATGTTAAGAGCACAACTGCCAATTTACTCATAAAATTTTCATGTACATGTAATCTAAATTTCTAATTCATGATGTGCTTGATATGACCGAACTAATTAATTAGTCTGATAACCTTTTTTAATTTTTGATATTCCAAAAGTATGAGTACGGAATGTGAAAAAGCTTGAAAACATCAAAATACCCATGAGACTTTAATAGTCCTGACATTTAGCTGGCTTAAAGTAATTTTTGCCACTGGCTTTTGATGGAAGAAAAAAAGTAATGACTAATAATATCTGAACTTTTCACAACAAAGCTGCAAGCTAATGCAAATATATCCAACTGCCATGTCAATGTCCAATCAGTGGTGCTGCTAACTACTTAAAGCAGGGTTATATTTAGTATCTTGAACATTGGACACAACAATTTAGAGTACATTTCTTGAAGTCGAGAAATAATTAAAAGCAATACTAAACATCCAGCTTTAGACAAGTGTGAACACTTCTGAATAAATAATCTGCTTTTAATAAAAATATAAATAGTATTCTTTTTCTTGTATACACAAACATATTTTACTATATTTCAAACATATAAACTCTGTGAATTTTGTCTTAATGTGTAGATTTTAATTTAATTTTAATGTATGGAGCCATTATTTTATTAATGCTTCACTTTTAGTGCTGGCATTGTATTCTGTTATTTGAATTCAGTAGCTGTAAGTGGTCAAGTTGAGTTGGATGTCCTTGAGGTAGGCAACTAATGACCTAGATAAGCTAACGGCAGTGCAAGCGGAGAAAGACCGGAATTGACCAACCAAAACAACAAAAATCACCCCCAAAACACTGTTCATGGTCATATCTCTGCATGCCTTGAAAGGAATATTCTGTTATTTACAACTTAATGACAAAGACGTTAAGTTGTGCATAACCAGGAAAATTTCTTCAATGCCATGACAACATAAAGATAATAGTGTCCTTCAAACTCTTTTATGAAAAAAAAATACAAGTGCATCAATGGGAGGGCATGAGCAATACAAAGCATTACTGTAGAAATGTATGAACAAATGGCTTAAAGTGCTTCACTGTGTTTTGAAGGTCAAACTGTATGCTTTTTTAATACTAAAACAATATGGCAAAGAAGTATACCTGGACAAATGCAATAATGGACTTTTTTTTAAAGTGAAAGTGCATGCACTGAAGACCTTATAGAGACATGGAGGACTTTCAAGAGAAGAAAGTGGGTGCATTTATGTCTATAGAGACAAGAAGCATGAGATTGGAAAAGAGACAGGAGAAAACATTTGACTCTTGTTTGTCACGACCTCCAAATAAAGTATTGTGGCAGCTGAAGTGGGACTGTGGGCAGAAACACATCTCCATCTTCAACTTTTTTTTGTTCTTTACCACGTCTATCACATTTGTACAAGTCTTCAGTTATGCTCCTTTGGGTCGAACATGAACAACAAACATACCCTTTAACGAGTTCTGAATGCATATTTTTATTTTTATTTTAGTTCAGGGACATTGCACATCACAAACCTTTATTAGTCCAGGTACATCGTCTACAGATCAAACTGTTGCACTTGTAATAGATGCAATTATAAAGCCACACCTGACTTGCAAGAATCTTTAACATAGTAAAACAGTGACCCATAGACTGCATTTTTGGGACCATATAGCATGTTTCCAATCAGCTGTGCTGCGCATGATGCCCAAAAATGTTACCTAAGTATACAGCTCACTAGGTTTTGAGACACAGCCAGTAAATCACAGAAGCAATTTCACCACATGCTTGGAGGGTCATTCCACAAAAAGGGTGCCTTTGCTGTCCCTACACTGTAAAAGAATCTGTAGAAATTACAGTATTACTGGCAGCTGCTTGCCAGTAACTTACTGTAGTTTTAAATTGATGTTATTTACTGGCAACAGTTTGTTCAAAGTTAAATGAACATTAAACATTAATAAGTCTTTATCTTTACAGAATAAAACTAAAATAACAGCCTCATGCAAAGCATTCTGGGAACCAAAATCTGAAGGAAAAAAAACAGAAAAAGGTTGATGAAGATTTCTGGTTCCCAGAATGCTTTGCATTAGATTGTTATTTTATAATTTTATTCTGTAAAGACAAAGACTTGTTAATGTTTAATGTTCATTTAACTTTGAACAAACTGTTGCCAGTAAATATAAATCAATTTAAATCTACAGCAAGTTACTGGCAAACAGCTGCATAACTACAGCAATTTTTTTACAGTGTAGTGCCAATATGTGTAAACAAGGTCTTACACCACATTTGCTATTACAGTAGGCTATATGCATTTTCCTAACACAACAACAAAATCCAGATCAACCCCCCCCCCCCCCCCCCCCCATCCATCCCATCCCATATTCTCTTATAGGCTATATAAGGTATGTAACATTGAATACTGAATATTTGTAGAAATATTAGCATAAAAACTTAAAATATGTCACTTTTATAAAAGCATTCAGTAACTAAAGTATAACAGCATACATTTGGCTTGAGATGGCATAATGCTATATTAACACTTAAATATTCTTTGTCTGACAGATCTTGAAAAAGACATTTACTTTTATAAGCTTTTTAAAAAGGAAAAAGCACACATTTCGTGGAATGCCCATGGAAACAGACCTCATCATCAAACTAAATCAAGTAAACGTATGTGTGCAGCATGTCCATATTCCCGGTCTCTTAGTACATAACATGGATAAGTGCTGTAGAATAATAGCAGATCTAGGGTGTTATTCGACAGTCCAGACGTGTTTAAATGTTCGCAGAGATCTGCAGTGGAGGAGTCGCGCGCTGCATTGACACGCGCTCCAAAACACACTGACATCACATCAGTCCGCACAGGAAAAAAAAAATCAAAAATATCTTTTTGATTAAACAAAAAAAAATATCGCTCCACATCTTTGAAACATAACTGTTCTCTCAAAACTGGGGAAATAAAAAATAAGAAAAATGTTCTCACTGAGGTAATTCGTCAGGAACAGCAAAATGTCCAACTGATAAATACAAAGAACGAAAGAAAAACAAAAATTAAAAGCAAAACAAAATCGTGTACAGCACTTGCTCCTATACAGGATATTGTACAAAATAAAGAAACAAATACACTCAAAAATTAACTACCAAAGTTAACCAATACCTGACGTTCCCCCTCTCCAAGAAGGTAAAACATTAAAAACCGTCTGTCAGTTGAATTCAGAAGAAGAACAAAATTCAAGCACTTCTCAAATCAAAAGAGGACGTAGAAAAGAGGTAAAGATGAAGAAAAGAGAAAATTAAAAGAAAGTACTCACCGGTGAAAATGTCAGAGAGCAAAAATGTTGAAAGAGCAACAAGAGCTAGTGAGTGAGGAGGAGCTGTCAGTGTCAGCGGCGCAGTGACCGGGGAAAGCAGCGGCTCAACAGTATAAACAGCGCTGGTGTGGAGCAAACCATCGCGAGGGCGCAGGGGGAGACACATCATGTATCTACTTAAAGGTGCACTCAGTAATTTTGTAATCAAACTCAGTCATTTGCTAATTAAAGTTTAACACATAAGTAATGCACAGTGTTTGCTAAATAGCATTAACATGATATTTACACACATGAGATGAAGAATCCAGTCACACAAGCCTTCTAAAAAGGTGTTTAAATTATTTTATTTTTATTTTTTATGGCAACATAAAAGACATTTTATACAACCCTGCTGCATCCTGCTGGATCTGTCTGCTGCTTTTGACACAGATAACCACCAGATCCTCCTGTCAATCCTAAAGATGAAGGGCATCTCGGGAACTGCATTCCAATGGTTCGAGTCTTACCTCTCAGGTAGGTCCTTTAGGGTGTCGTGGAGAGGTGTGGCGTCTAAGACCCAACATCTAGCTACTGGGGTGCCTCAGGGCTCAGTGCTTGGACCACTCCTCTTCTCCATCTACATGACATCACTAGGGTCTGTGATTCAGAAACATGGCTTTTCCTATCATTGCTACGCTGATGACACGCAACTCTACCTCTCATTCCAGCCTGACGATCCGACGGTAGCTGCTCGTATCTCAGCCTGCCTGACAGACATCTCTGGCTGGATGAAGGACCACCACCTCCAACTAAACCTTGCGAAGACAGAGCTACTTGTGGTCCCGGCCAACCCAACACTTCATCACAACTTCTCCATTCAGCTAGGCTCGTCATCCATAACTCCATCAAGGTCAGCTAAGAACCTTGGGGTTGTAATTGATGATCAGTTGAAATTCACAGACCACATTGCTAGAACTGCCCGGTCCTGCAGATTTGCCTTGCACAACATTAGGAGGATCAGGCCCTTCCTTACAGAGCATGCCACACAACTCCTTGTCCAAGCACTTGTTTTATCCAGACTGGACTATTGTAATGCTCTCCTGGCTGGTCTTCCAGCTTGCTCTGTCAAACCTCTACAATTGATCCAGAATGCTGCAGCCAGAGTAGTCTTCAATGAGCCGAAGAGAGCACACGTCACTCCTCTCCTCACACAATTGCACTGGTTGCCAGTTGCCGCTCGCATTAAATTCAAGGCACTGACGTTTGCCTACAGAACAACCACTGGCACTGCTCCCTCTTACCTAAACTCATTACTTCAGACTTATGTGCCATCCAGAAACCTGCGCTCTGCTAGCGAATGTCGTCTTGTGGTACCATCTCAAAGAGGCACAAAATCTCTTTCTCGGACCTTTACCATGGCTGTTCCCTGTTGGTGGAATGATCTGCCTAACTCAACCAGAGCTTCTGAGTCAGTAGCCACTTTCAAGAAACTGCTGAAGACATATCTTTTTCGGCAGCACTTGATTCAGTAGAATTAACACTTTCTCTTCTCTTCTATTCTATAAAAAAAAAAAAAAAAAAACCTGCACTAAAATTAAACAGAGGGGTTATAGCACTTACGTATTGTTGTCCTACTGTTAGTTTAACTGCTTCTATTGTTCTCATTTGTAAGTCGCTTTGGATAAAAGCGTCTGCTAAATGAATAAATGTAAATGTAAATGTAACCCCATTTGGAGACAGGCATAAAATAGTCCAAATATAAGACAGTTTAAAGGTTCCACAGCCTCTCAATAGGCATATATTTAAAAAAGAACATCCATAGGGTCTTATGTCCAGTAGATAGAGTTCTTCCAATCATTGTTGATATGGGTAAGAAAATTATATATATACACACAGGTATCAATACATTACTGTTATTAGTGTTATACATTATTTTTGTTACCATGTTTTACACTACTTAGTTACACTAGCTATTTTATTCTACATGGTGAGTTGACATCATAACTAACTAGCTGTCATGCAATTGAAAGTTAATAATTCAACAGTCTGTCAAGTATTCCTATAGAACTTCTATCCAGTGCTCAAACCCAACAAACATATTACATTTATACCAAATGTCAGAAAAGTCTGACATTCGCGCCTCAGTTCAGGACAGTGATGTGTACATGTTGTGCAGTGGTTGTCCAGACAATACATTTATCATTTTAATTTATGGTTCAGAAATGTCGTAAAAAATCATTGTGACAGCCTTCAGACAATGTCAACCATTTCAGAATGTTGTCACAACATGTTTGCTGGGTTTTTATAAATACTATGTGAAATAACTATATGTTTAGAATAGCATACTGATATACTATTTCTGCAGAAAATACATTTCATACTGTACACAGTATGCATACATACTGAATATTGCAGAAAAAAACATGCATAGCATGGCAGCTATGTTATTTCAAAAACTGAGAAAGTCTATTGTCTTTTATGTAACTTTGAGAGACTGATGGTAGAAGTTCTGGAGTCCATAGCAGCTTTCACTGGCCAAGGATCGCCCAGAGGCCGTCTGGCTGACATGTAAAGCAACCAATCACAGTTCATTTTTGTTCTGCATCATGTAGGGGCGTAAAATGTTACGTTGATGTCCCTACAATAACAGATGGGTGTGTAAAACTCTTGGATGTATTTTAAAGAGTCTATGCAATGAACTTTACATGTAAGGCGAGTCTGGGCTACCCCTCGAGAAAACAAAAGGCTCTCATGAGAATTAACATTTGAACTCTCTCTTGCACATGTAACAGCAACATCCGAGACGCAGCACACAGTGCAGCTCACACCTCACTTTTACAGTCTCATCACCTCCCCCTGCTCCCCCTCTTCTCCTCCTCACTTAAAGCTCACTAAAAATCTATGCAATGATTAAGTGTGTACAAAAAGTAACTATACATGTTTGGTATCATTTAAAGTGTCTCAGTGCGCCTGGTAAAATGGTCTCATTCTCTCCCAGCAATAATGAAAAGCTAAAAGAAGTTATAAATAGGAGAAATGTGGTGTGCCCTCCCCCAGATCCTCAAACTACCTCCTGTATGTAAATACGTATTCTTCTACAGCTATCAACAACCCATTCAATTACACATTCTGATCCCACAGTTGTGAACGTCTCAATAGGGGACCAAAATTAATTTATAATGACAGACAACACCATTTGGAAAGCATAGTGAAATATCTGGGTTTATAAGAAAACTGGCAAACTGTTCAAGGAGTCTGTAGGTAGACTTCCCACACGATCGCTGTTAGTAGTTTTAGTTGCCAGGTAAATATTTCTATGATTTCTCGATTTCCGAATTGTTGTTATTATATTTGATTGACCGATGATTTTATTCTATGAATTGGATTTTGAATTATTGTACCTGGTCAATAAATTGTAAACATTTGATTTTATTCTGACTGTCTCTGAAATTGTTTTCCCAAGTAGATTAAATGGATTCGTATGTTACCGCAAGTCTGCGTCAAATTAGTGACGACTAATACCGTAAAACTTCAAATAGTAGCCCGGGCTTTTATTTTCCCAAATCGTCGAACTGCACAGGTGTTCTGACGATTCATGCTACCCATCGAGATTTGCTACTTACTGGTTATGCGCATGTGCAGACTCAGTTTTTTTTTTAACAAAAGGTAAATTTCTATGTGTTATAAAGTAATTTCCCTTTAAAAAATGCTAACTACCATATGAATATTTGTACGGCCAGTCAGCTGAACAAAAATAACTGAAAGTTTCAGTTAGCCTACTAAGGAAAGGTGTGCTTTGACAAGTAAAAGATGAATATTTGATGATCATTTTTACTTTTCACACCGTTTTAAAAATAAAAACAGTAGTCTACAGTATACAGTAGCTACTCATAACTTAGAATTGTATTATAATTGTATTTCATATAATATTAATCGACATTCTGTGATCGATTCGCGCTACGGTAGCATTTTTCGACAAGGCAGCACAAATCGTCAGAACACCGGCTTGTATTTGAGACAGCACAGGCGTCTATATGAGACATGCCTTTATAATTTAGTGTTGAGATGTTGTTCATTGAGTGTATAGGCCTGTCTCTAATCTCTAAAAATCTCCAAATGCTCCACGTGAAACTGCGGTCTTCCGACCTTTTACTATCGCGTCAATTGATTTTGATTAATATGCGCGAGGGAGAGAGAGCAAGACAGCGCTCGTGTTGTTTGAAGACGTGAGAGTGCGCGCGCGTGGTCGGGGCGCTCTCTCGCTCTCTGCTCGTACCGCGCCCTGTCAAGCGCAGCAGTCATTCTACATCACTCATCGATCAAAAAAGGCTTTGGAGGGACAAAAATTTGCTTTGGCGGCCGCGAAAAAGCGGACGATCTGACGGTTTTAGAGGAATAAATAGGCCTACAACCCGAAACTAAAAAACAGACCCGGCCTCTATTTGAGACCGGCCTTTATTTACCCACACCTGCAGCCACACCAGGCGTGTAAAAGAGACAGGCGTCTATTTGGGACTCGGCTATTATTTGAAGTTTTACGGTAGTTGGCATCAATTCAAGTGTACTTGGTTTGCAAAGACAAGAAGAGAATTTCCATTTAGAACAGCAAATGCTGCTTGACAAATCTAAATTTGGGTGTGTCTGTTTTATTTTAATGTTACTTTAGATAAGTGTATGTGGGAAACCACGGCATGGCCAATCCAAAGCTATTATAAGAGAAGTAATGTTGGTCAGCTTATATCTGTAATAGTGGCCATACCTCTACTGAAGTAAACGTTAAACGTGAGGACCTCTGAGCGACATAGTTTCCTAATTTGAATGGTTAAAATATAATTAAAGAGTTAAAAAGAATAATCAAACATTCGCTCACTTTTAATGATGCTCAGATATCATTAAAACCTTTTTCATTTATGGAGTCAGATGAAATAACGAGGTAATACATATGAGAAAATGTATTTAATTGAATCTTGTTGTGTTGCGCGAAGGAAAGACAGTAAGACGCAGAAACCTTAACCCGTATTATTGGAAAACCACCATTGGACCGATCTACGGGCTTACACATACTTCACATACTTTCGAAAATCCAGCATTTAGTTGATACTGATAAGCACTCTTTGT